GGAGGAGGTGCTACCGTGTCGGCTTCCTCACCGGAAGTCGACTCGTTAATCTGACTCATAGCTTCGTTGACGCTACTTTGCTATGCCCCACGGTGGGCGCCACCTATTCAAACCGAGTATGGTCTTTTATCAGTGAGAAGGGTGACGGAATTCGTTGGTGGGTTATATGACAAGGCAGTTATGCTATAAGTGGCAAAAGAGTAGCTTTATTAATGAAAAAGTTCGGTTTAGAAATAAGGAAACAAGAGGCGAGGCGGCGTTGCACTGAGAGCTCAGTCGTGTCGTACAAGTCGGAAGGAATTACAAAAGTGAAAACCCTAATTCTAGCCGCCTTGTGAGTGGAAGTGATTTCGGATCCCCCTCTTGTTGCCCTCTGTCCTCCTTTTATAGCAGCATTCCCTTGACTTAGCGAGCTGGCCGCGTGTACAGAGGGCCTTTCGCCACATGGGCCTTGGTCGGCCCGCTAAGGTAAGTACCTTAGCTAAGTGTCGTTAACTCGGCTAATCGCGGGGATTATCCGAGTTAAGCTAAACTTGCTTGCTAATCAACGAGGTGTTACTTCGTTGGACCGGAACCCTAATGGGCCGAGTCTATTATTCAGTGGGTCTTATGAAGGGGAGTATTCCACCACCTACAGTCAGCTTGCCAGCCGGGCGACCTGGATGGTGTGGTCCAGCTCGCCAAGACGGCGAGCTTGTTTGGGATGGTCAGCTCGCCGGCTTGGCGAGCTGGATGGTACGGTTCAGCTTGCCAAGACGGTTCAGCTTGCCAAGACGGCGAGCTGGTTCAGGACGGCTAGCTCGCCGGATTGGTGAACTGGACGGGACGGTTCGGCTCGCCAAGACGGCGAGCTGGTTCGGGGCGGCCAGCTCGCCGGATTGGCGAGCTTGACGGGATGGTTAAGCTCGCCAAAAAGGCGAGCTGGTTCGGGACGGCCAGCTCGCCGGCTTGGTGAGCTTGACGGGACGGTTTAGCTCGCCAAGACGGCGAGCTGGTTCTGGACGGCCAGCTCGCCGGCTTGGCGAGCTGGATGGGCTGGTCCAGGTCGCCAAGACAGCGAGCTGGTTGAGCTCGGCCAGCTCACCGGCTTGGCGAGCTGGATGGCACGTCCAGCTCGCCAGGACGGCAAGCTGGTTTCGCTCGGCCAGCTTGCCGGCTTGGCGAGCTGGATGGTCTCGGACAGCCATGTCGTTTTGCCGAGTTAGACGGGACGACCGATCTTGCTAAGTTGGCTAGTCGGACAACCGTGGGTTGTTTTATTCGATTTTCCGGTGATTTCCATGATGACGATTAATAAGTTTACGGAGTTCCTTTGTTCAGAAAATCTTTGGAATTCTCCTCGACGCGTTTTCATATCTTTATAAATATATATTGAATTTTGCGGAGAGTTTTTGTTGTTGATTCCGTCGTGACCGATTTTGACCCGAGAGTCATAGCCGTTTTGCTAGAGAAACTGGTCAACGGTTTTGGTGTCGGTTCTCCGTTATTCTGATTGCCATTTGTGTCAAAGTGTCGTGGAAGATCACGTTGACGGTGCTTCGGGTATTGACAAGGATTCGGGTGACCTCTAAATCACTTATGACTAGGTCGATGACAAGAGGATCAGCATACGGGTGGTCGATGTCGGAAGTTTCTGGCTCCTCGAAGGCGATTACACCTCTTGGAGTGTCATCTGATGGTGTCGGCCAGTTCGAACCTGTCTCGGCTTTTCGACGGCATGACTTGATGGACGAGACGGTATCGTTGTAGTACTGCGATTCGTCGACGATCATGTTGACCCTTTGGCGGTTAGCATCGTTTCCTCTCTCGTTTTGTCTTTGTCCATGTTTCTCGCCCGTTTGGTGCCCTCGAGGCGAAGTGTCTACCTGCGAGTTCCTATCGTTTTCCGGGAGGCGGTCCGAATCGTGGATGAGGTCCTTTACGCTGGTTACTTTAAAGAGTTCTCTTGTGAGCAATTTTGCGGCCAGCCTTGCGCCGAGAACTTTACAGTTCATGGTTGAATGACCGCGGGGCTGGTGGAAGTCACAGAAGGCGTTCCCATCGTAACTCGAATTCCTGGTCCACATACTCCTCGTAGTTCGCCCTTGCTCTGATCCAGAATTGATGGCATAGTTATGTACCCCTTGGAGATCCTGCCCCTCGTGATAGACGTACTTGTCATTACGAGGGTTTTTATTTTTCGGCTTTTGCTCGGACGCGGCGTCTTTCGCGGATGTCTTCGTCGGTTTATGCTATTCTGACAGGATTTTAGTCTCCTCTTCGATAGTGATGTAATCGGTAGCTTTGTGGAGTACGTTCTGGATCGTACGCGGATTCTTGAGAGTTATCCACTTTCTGAATTTCGACTTGAACCAGAGCGACTTTCCTAGAGCGTCGATGGCTGCTCTGTCGCTTATTCCGCTAACCCTAGCCATCATGAGTTTTAACTTACTCATGAAGTCGCGGAGGGGTCCGTCTTCCTTCCGGGATAAACTCCGAAGGTCGGCATCGGAAGTTTCCCTGTTTATGAACATCGAGTACTGCTTGAGAAACTCTGAGGCAAGCTGGCGGAAACTCCCGATGGAGTTCCGCTTAAGTCGAGAGAACCACTCGAGCGCTGCCCCTTCTAGGTTTTCGACAAAGAGAAGGCAATAGCCTACGTTTCTTTCGCTTTCCTTAAGCTTAGCCCGCCCCATGGTGATCTAGAAGGCCTGCAGGTACGCTTTGGGATCAGTCATCCCATCATAAGTTGGCACTTTAAGCTTCCCGGGATCTGGCACCTTGATTTTGGTGATGCGAGTCGTAAAGGGTGTTTTTCGAGACTCGTACAACAATCGATCTATTTCGGGCGCGGCGCTGGTAATATGGTGAATTTGAGACTTCACTGCCTTTACTGCTGCGGCCGTTTTTGTGATGTAGTCACGGAGATCGCGAATCTCGGTTGGCCCGCCAGCATTTTTCCGACCCCGTCAGCGTTTGCTGCGAGTGGCATGAGATCGTTCCTCAGCCGTCTTTGTATGCTCCATGCAATAGAGCTCCTCCTCGTCCTCGGTGGGAGAGTGTTTGGGAGAAGATTTGGGCTGAGGGCTGCGATCTTTCCTTCTTCTTGGATGAACGTCATCGTCTTCCTCCGACGGATCGGATTGGTCGCTTATGTCCAGATTAACCCTTTCGACACCGTCGTCTTTGGCATCCCGTTCGCGAGAAGGAAATTTTTCTGATTCCTTTTGTGTCCCGTCAGAGTTATGTTTTTGGAGGTTTGCTCTGATAGATTACCCTGCTCGGTTCTGGGACGAACCATAGGAATCGTGAAATCGAGTCTTCTTCCGCAAATCCTTGTGGTTCTGCGTGGGGGGACAGCCTTGGTCTTCGCGGTTAGGGTTTCGACCTGTTTTGCGAGAGATCCGATTAGCTTGTCCTGATCGTCCATCCTCTTTTGATAGGCGGAGAGTACCTCCTGCAGCGACGTAGTGTTGGCATCAGCGTTAATTGTGGTCGCGTTTTCTGGTGGATTTGGAGTTTCAACGTTTTGGTTGACGTGAGTCGATTGTTCTTCTGTCATCGTATTTGATCGAGCGAAATGCGTTCTAAGAGTTAGATAGATCCGTAACCCCCCTCTCATTCTAGCGCCAAACTATGGGAACCAAAATTCACACTGTCGATTTCCGTTGAATTAAGGAACTTATGAAAAATCCTAATTTCCCAGAGGTCCCGGATATCTACTAAACCACATGCCAAGCAATCAAAATACAAAAATAACAGGAAAGAATATGAAAATCGAAATAGAAAGCAAAAAGATGTCTTATTCCGAATTAGCGTAAGAGCGGTACAACGAGGTAAAGTCTCGGTCACAAGAGCTAACGGCGAGTTCTCTAGTTTTAGTAACCTAAGACTAAAACCCTAGTTGAGATGCAGCTCAATAACAAAAACAAAAGTTGCCTATTTTTCCTAAGTGCTAAGTTTTTCTATGTGATGAAAGCTCTGAAAATCGTCCCCTTCTCCTTGGCTTCGGCCTTGTGCTTATATACTCCTCTTCTACGTGGTTTAGTCTTTCCTTTTCAGCCTTGATTTGTGTTTTTAGGAAATCTTCCATTTATCTCAATTCTCCATTTTTATCCTTGGAAAACTTCTATTTCTCTCCGAACTTGACATTTATCTTCTTTCTGCACATAAACGGGCAATCCGTCAGCGTATCTTTGGGTTGGAATCCTTCTAAAGTCGCAAGTGGGCCTTTGTCGCGTTTTAGGACCTTTCGGGCCGTTTTGCGCCTTAACCGTTTCACGATTTTAGACGGGGTCGTTCCATGATACGATGCCATTTTTATAAAACATCTCAAGTCAATCGTATAGTTTGGTAATGTCGCGTGTTCTGTTTAACCGTTTCCGTTTTATACGATTTACTCGAGCTTTTACGAGAAAACAAGTCTTTAGCGGTTCTTATCATAAAATTCCAACGATAAGATGGATCGAGACGAAACAAGAGATGTTCCGATCACGGTTCAGAGTACGATCAAGTCGAGGGACATATGTCTTGTGTCCGGGCAATGCGGATGGTGTGGTCCAGCTCGCCAAGACGGCGAGCTGATTGAGCTCGGTCAGCATGCCGGCTTGGCGAGCTGGATGGCACGGTCCAGCTCGCCAAGACGGCAAGCTGGTTTGGCTTGACCAGCTTGCCGCTTGGCGATCTTGATGGTCTTGGACAGCCTTGCCATTTTGGCGAGTTTGACGTTACAGCCGATCTTTCTAAGTTGGCTAGTCGGACAACCGTTGGTTGTTTTATTCGATTTTCTGGTGATTTCCATGATGACGATTAATAAGTTTACGTAGTTCCTTTGATTGAAAAATCTTTGGAATTCTCCTCGTCGGGTTTTCATATCTTTATAAATCTATTTTGAACTTTGCGGAGAGTTTTAGTCGTTGATTCTGTCGTGACCGATTTAGACCCCAACAATAACTAGTCAAGATTAACTATGGTCCTACATTTGTCATAACTTGTGAAACACTGAGAGAAAGGGGAAATAAATCAAATTGTGTTTCAAAAGTGTAATAATCAAAGCTACAGTGATTAAACTGCACCTTTAAGGTTCAACAAGAGACAAAACAAAACTGATGCTGAAAGCTTCAAGAAGTTTGAGATAATTTGCATATACTGAGATGTAGTGAACGCAAAGGAGCACAAAGTAACAAGGTAATTAAGGATAACTTGCTTTGAAAGTCCACAAAATAAAAGTAATTAGCCAATGCTGATCATCATCTTAACAAAGTCATCATAGTTGACTTGACCATCACCATCCAAATCTGCCTCCTTTATCATTTGTTCAATTTCTTCATCTGTTAGCTTTTCCCCTAGATTTATCATTACATGACTCAACTGCAATAACAAAGCTGTTGACATCAGTAAATAAATTGTACATGTCAATCAAACTGGTTAATTATATCTTGTAGAGACTCTTACTCTTTCTACACATTATAATTATAAGCAACACAATCATTTTTCAGAGAAGAAGCAGCAGGTTTTGGCCTTAGTTTTACCCTTCGGTTTAAAGAGACCTATTATCTGATGACCAGCCTTCAGTAGATATGTTTTATACCTAATTATTGATGATGTCTCTTAATAATAATAAGGCAGAAGCTAAAATATTAATACTCAGAATATAGTGATTTAATCTTTTTGAGAGATGTGATTGAGAAAATAAACTCAAATTGAACTTATTTGTTAGGCATGAGTCATGCATTTCAAATACACAATTAGAAAGCATCTGGCTCTGGTTATAATGCTATATAAAATGGATATTAATAAATTGTATATACATTTTATTTGTGCATGCCAAAATGTGCATCTATGACTTTCTACGCACTAATGCAACTTCTGAGGATGTTAAGAAAGGTATCTATATTTAATTAAACTAGGTGAAACATGTGCCCACCTGTCCAATAAACCAATATCAAACGCATTTTACTCCTAACTTATTTTCCTCTAATTGTTTTTTGTTGTCACTCATCGTTCTTCTCCAAAGATTCAGAATGCCAGCTAGCTCTAAGCCTTCACGACGGAAAAATGTTTAGAATATAAAAAGACAAGTATGTGATCTCTTTAAATTGGAAGATTGCCTGGCGTTGTTGTCTGATTTTTTGTCATTAATTCAAAATATTTCAAATAGTGTTTAGCTGGCCTTATCATCTATCTACTTAATGCAGAATTAATTGATCAAGTGGGTCAATGAACTTAATATATACTCATAGTTATGATGCTTAGCCTGGATTTGACAATTTAGCGATATGGAGCACGAGAAAACATTATGAAAGTGGTTCATGAACCCTAATTAAATTTGAACCCAGTAAGGATTTAGTAAACAGAAAATCTATATAATTGTGGCTCTATAACATTTATAACAAATAAAAACAAAGTAAAGACCGTACATGCTATTATTGAAGAACGTTGTACAAAACGTAATCCAGTGCATGGAACTAATTTGTTTATATAGTTTTATTAATAAGTCAAGGTTATATCTTACTATATACGCACTTATATGTAGCGAGAGAAAAGAGACAGAAAACAACTCAAACTAAAAAAATGAGTGAAAAAATCACGGACCTCACTAGCAGAGATATAACCATTTTGATCTTTGTCAAAGACTTTGAATACTTCTTTCAACTCTTCTTCTGCATCATTTTCCTATACCAACACGACAACAAATTAACAAATAGTACCTGTTATAAAAGATAATTATTGTCTTTATTTAAAGTATAAACAAAGGATTCTTTGCAAATGAGATTTTGGTAATAGAGAATTAAGTAAAAGTCTTCTTTATTCTAAGAAACAAGTAAATTTCTTGACTAAAGCAAAAAACGTGAAAACACAGTTAAAAGCTTAAAAAGATGATTAAATACTTGTTATACTAAAAAGCGATTTGCCAAAAAAATTAAATAATATTTCCAACTATACTCAAGAAATATGAGACAGAGGCATAATGAATGAGCTCCATTTTGACAACAGTCATAAATGATATAAGTAAAAATCTTTTAGTTGATGTAATTGATTGTGAAATACTTCTTTCACTTCATTTTATTTGTCATTTCAAATTTTTGTCATAAATTAAGAAAATATTTAATTTTACATATTTTTATTAAAAACATCATTATTTATAAATTTAATCATATTTCAACAATACAAAGATAAACTATTATATTAATTAATAAATTTTATTTTGAAATCATAAAAACACTTATTTCAAACAAAATATTCTTTTATGACAAATAAAATGATATTTCATATCAATCTAGTTATGCAATAATGTAATAACATATGGACGACAAAAAAGAAAAAAAAGACCACGAGAGCGGAACCTGAAGTTTGTTTGTCATGAGGTTAAGAAACTCAGCAAATTCAATGGTGGCATTACCATCGGCGTCGATCTCAGTGATGATATCTTGAAGTTCTTGTTCTGTTGGATTCTGATCCAACGAACGGATCACTGTTAAAAGTTCTTCTACCGTTATACGACCTGTTACTGGATTCCAAAGCAACAACAATATGTCACCACAGAAATCACTTTTCTTAATTTTATACATACTATCATTTAGAGAAGAAAGAGAGAACCGTCGCCGTCTGTTTGGATGAGACAAATAACCTCTTTGAACTCGATAATCTGTTCTTTTGTCAGTGCTGTTTCTTCCATTGTTTCTGGGGTCGTGTGAGAGAAGAGACGAGAGAGAGAGAGAGAGCTCAAGGTTTGAAGTAGTTGATGAATCTCTGATTTGTGGTCTATTTGTAGAGTCCTGCCAAGAACTTTTTTCTACTTTGGACTCATGGTACTTTTTCAATATGTAAAGCCCGCCCTTCTTAAATTATTTTAAGTTAAAAGGGAAGTTTTTTATTCTTGAACTGAAAACTTTAATTCTAGTCACATGACCCAATGGCATATAATAATTGTTGCTGTTCTCGAGTTAAATTTAATCATATATAATGGCCATTAGTAAAAACTTTGTTCTGAAACTCGACCGTTTAACTGTCTAAATGTCCTGTTAACAAAAAAGCTATCTAAATGTCCGGCTAACGACTAAAACCAATTGGATGTGGTGTTGTTGGATCTAAGTAATTAGATTCACTAAGTTCAAATGAGTCTCCTAACTTCAACTCTCATTGGGTGGTCTAAGTCTAGTGACTACGTCAGGAGAATCCGTCAGAATTTAGTGATGGAAATTAAATAAGATTAAGTAACTTAGAGCAAGCAAAATAAGAATGTCATGTTAGGAAAGTAAATGTTAGGAAAGTAAATGTCATTTTTATGGAAATATAGAAATTGGCAGGATCCTGGAAATATTACTTTCATGAAGATATAGAAGTTGCAAATATTTTGAAATATTTCCTAATAGGTTTATGAAAAGAGCTGAATGCCCTAATCCAACTAGGTTAACCTAATAGACTCATACTATATAAGAGGAGCTCGTGTGTTCTCTTCTTTTTGACACGAAAGATACAAACACACAAGAAAAGACCAAGCTTGGTTTGTAAGCTTTGGTTGAGAGAGAGAGAGAGAGAGAGAGAGAGAGAGAGAGATAGGTGCCAGATCTTTGTACTTAAGATTATAGTGAATTGTCTCCTTCCCAGGCCCCAGTTGGATGTGTTGTTGTTGGATCTAAGTAATTAGATTCACTAAGCTCAAATGAGTCTCCGAACTTCAACTCTCATTGGGTGGTCTAAGTCTAGTGACTACATCAGAGAATCCGTCAGAATTTGGTGATGGAAATCAAACAAGATTGAGTAACTTAAAGCAAGCAAAATAAGAACGTCATGTTAGGAAAATGAAATGTCACTTTTATGGAAATATAAAAATTGGCAGAATCCTGGAAATATTACTTTCATGAAGATATGGAAGTTGCAAGTATTTTGAAATATTTCCTAATAGGTTTATGAAAAGAGCTGAATTCCTTAATCCAACTAGGTTAACCTAATAGACTCCTACTATATAAGAGGAGCTCGTGTGTTCTCTTCTTTTTGACACAAAAGATACAAAAACACAAGAAAAGACCAAGCTTGGTTTGTAAGCTTTGGTTGAGAGAGAGAGAGAGAGAGAGAGAGAGAGAGAGAGAGAGAGAGAGAGAGAGAGAGAGAGAGAGAGAGAGAGAGAGAGAGAGAGAGGTGCTAGATCTTTGTACTTAAGATTATAGTGAATTGCCTCCTTCCTAGGCCCCAGTGGACATAAACCACTCTAGGTGAACCACTGGGTAAACAATCTCTTGTGTCCATCTTCTACTTATTCCGCATTCTTCTTCCCATCTCCCTAATTCTGCAAACTCAACTTTCTTACTTACGTCATCTAGTTCGTCAGAGAGTATATCAGCGAGTTTGTGTGTTTTATTCTAGTTCTTGAATTAAACTAATTCGCCCTTGTGGTTTCAACAAAGTGGTATCAGAGCATACTAATGTTTGTCGTTGAAGTTCAACAAAATGGTATCAGAGCCTTGGTAGGTGTCATTGTCAATGGCGAATGCAAGAATTAAGGTGGAGCAGTTTGATGGAAAGGGTGACTTCTCATTGTGGAAGAAGAGGATGCTTGCGCATCTGTCTGTCCTTGGTTTAAGGGATGTGTTAGAAGAGTCTACGTCGGTTCCTGCATCAGAGATGAGGAAGGATGAAGACGAAGAGGTGTTCAGGGAGAGGTTGGTAAAAGAGGAAGCCGAAAGGCTTGAAATATCAGAGAAGGCAATGAATCTGATCATTCTCAATGTTGGAGATCACGTGTTAAGGATGATCGAGTTGTGTAGATCAGCGCTTCTACATGGTCTACACTCGCGAGGTTATATCTTTCGAAGACTCTACCGAATAGAATTCACTTGCACCATAAATTATATACCTTCAAGATGGTTGATACTCGGAGTATGGATGAGAATATCGATGACTTCTTGAAGATTGTTTCTCACATGTCAAGCGTGATGTAACTGTGTCAGAGGAGGTACAAGCGATTCTGATCCTGAACTCGCTTCCTTTACGGTTCAACTCTCTCAAGGAAACACTTAAGTATGGCAAGGATACATTATCGTTGGAAAAGGTGACAAGTGCAGCAAGGTCTAAAGATCAGGATCTGAAGTCCTCTATGACTTCACATGATAGTGGTGAAAGATATCATGCTAGAGGAAGGACTGAGAAGAGAGATTCTTGAGAATGAAAATGGCAAGTCTAGATCGATCTCATGCTCCAGGATAACTTGCTGGTTCTGAAAGAAGCAGGGGCGCACCAAAAGGGAGTGCCATGCCTACAAAAAGAAGTATGGCAGACGAGAAGACGAAGCTGAAGTAGCCGTTGTAATATATTGTGAGTCAGCGGATGATGCACTCTCGGTAGCAGATACGTGGCATCATGAGTTGGTGTGACTCTGGATTATCCTACCATATGACGTGTAGGAGATATTGGGTTCACACGTTTGAAGAGGTTGCTTCAGGACATGTTCTTCTTGGTAATGATTGTTTGGTTTGGAGTGCAAGGGAATGGTACAATCAACATAAAATTTTATGGTGGTTCTGTCAAGATGCTCACGAATTTCAGGTATATTCCGAAACTTAGAAGGAACTTGATATCTACTGGAACTTTGGATGTATTAGGCTTTGTGCATAGTGGTGGACATGAGAATACTAGGTTTTACAAGCATGGTACACTAGCTCTTTAGGGAACCTTGTCTGGGTCATTGTACTTGTTAGATGGTAAGACTGTGTTAGGTGAAGTTAACAGCAGTGTCAGAAAGAAACCATCTATGGATGAGACAGTCTTGAGGCATAGACGTCTTAGGCACATGAGTATGAAGAATCTACAGATTCTAGCCCAGTGAGGGGTGATCGATAAGCGGAAGATTGGAGTTTTGGAGTTCTGTGAGAGCTGTATGATGGGGAAGCAGAAGAGATTAAGCTTCAACATCGGGAGACATGATACATGTGAAGCTCTCAGGTATATATATGCTGATTTAAGGGGATCTCCAAATGTGACGTCAAGTCTGTCAGGGAAGCAGTATTTCATGTCTATTATCGATGATTATGCAAGGAAGGTCTGGGTATATTTCTTAGCTGCTAGAGGAGAAGCCTTTAGTAACTTTTGTGAATGGAAGAAGTTGGTGGAGAATCAAGTCATGGAGAAAGTATGTTGTCTTAGAACAGACAATGGAATTGAATTCTGTAACACTAAGTTTGACAACTTCTGCAAGCAACATGGAATCAAGAGACATAGAACCTGTGCATGAAAAAAGTATGTTGTCTTAGAACAGACAATAGACTTGAATTCTTTAACACAGAGTTTGACAACTTCTGCAAGCAACATGGAATCAAGAGACATAGGACCTGTGCATATACACCACAGCAGAACGGTGTAGTTGAACGTATGAACATGACTCTGATGGAGAAAGTGAGATGCTTTCTGGTTGAATCGGGTCTAGATGAACAATTCTGGGCTGAAGCAGTGTCTACGTCAGCGTATGTGACAAACATGAGTCCATCTTCTACAATAGATGGGAACATTCCGAAGAAAATTTGGTTAGGCAAGAAGCCCGGTTATCTGCACCTAAGAAGATTTGGATATGTGGTTTATGTCCATGCGGATTAAGGAAAGCTCAAGGCCATAGCTAAAAGGGAGATCTTCGTCAGCTATCCATCAGGTGTGTAAGGATACAAAGTTTGGCTTCTTGAAGAGAAGAAGTGTGTTATAAGCATGAATATGGTATTTGCAGAAGACAAAATCTACAAGGATTTGAGAGTCTGCGAGGTTAAAGCAGATGTTACAGAGGAGCTAAGAAATCAGACTGTGCTGGGAGAAACAACAGGATCTGCGTCAGGACCGGAAAGGTGAACCTTCAGGTGGAGTTGTTGACGAAACAACTGAAGTAGTTTTTGACGCAGATGATGAACAAAGTGAAAGTCTTGAAGGATATCAGATAGCAAGAGATAGAGTTCAGAGAAGAATAGTGCCACATGCACGATACTCTGTCTTGGAGTGTACAGCAGCGATTGCGCTATATATAGCTGATGACGTATGTGCCGAGGAACCTCAAGACTATCATGGAGCAATGAATAACAAAGAGAAAAGGCAGTGGGATGAAGCATGTGGTGAAGAGATGACTTCAGTGGATAAGAACCAAACCTGGAAGCTTGTGAGAAGGCCTAGTAAGCGTAAGGTGATAGGATGCAAGTGGTCTTTAAGTTGAAGTCTGGTATACCTGGTGTTGAGAAGTCTAGATTCAAGGCTAGGTTAGTTGCTAAGGGATACTCTCGAAGAGAGGGTATTGACTATCAAGATGTGTTTTCACCCGTCATGAAACATGTGTCCATAAGGTTCCTGTTGTCAATTACAGTGAATCAAGATTTGGATCTTGAGCAACTTGATGTAAAGAATGTGTTTCTTCATGATACACTTGAAGAAGAGATTAAATGGAGCAACCAGAGGGATTTTAGGTTAAAGAGAAAGAGGATCACGTTTGTCTACTTCAGAAAGCTCTTTATAGACTAAACCAAGCACCAAGACAATAGAACAAGTGTTTAGTCATGGATTTATGAAGAGTGAATATGATCACTGTGTCTACATCAAGGAGTTAACCAATGGTACGTAAATCTATCTACTGTTATATGTGGATGATATGTTGTTTGCGTCAAGGGATGCGGTAGAGATCAAGAAAGTGAAGCAGCTACTTAGCAACATATTTGAAATGAAGGACTTGAGTCCAGCAAGACAAATTTTGGGGATGGATATTAAGAGAGATCATGAAATAGGTACTGTGACA